GAACAGGATTGTTTTTTTAATTTCAATTTCTAATATTTCATTATTGGCATGTAAAAACGCAACTGATATCTGGATATTACTTGTGGAAATGTATCCAAAAAACACTAAAATACTAATTCGAAAGAGTATATGCACCCTTATGTTCTTTGCACTATTATTTACAATCACCAAGATATGGAAGCAACCCAAGTGTCCATCAGTAGAAGAGTGGATAAAACAACTATGGTACACATACCCAATGGAATATTACTTAGCCATAAAAAAGAAAAAAAAATTTATCTTTTGCAACAGCATGGATAGACCTGGAGAACATTATGTTAAGTGAAATAAGCTAAACATAGAAAGAGAAATACCATATGATTTCACTCATATGTGGAATCTAATGAACAAACTGAACTAACAAGCAAAACAGGGACAGACTCACAGAAAGCAGAAAGCAGATGACAGTTCTGGGGGTGGAGGTGGAGTGATCAAGTAAAAAAGAAAAAAACTCACAGACATGGACAACAGTGTGGTGACTGTAGGTGGAGGGGTGTGGTTGGAGGTGGAAGAGGGTATGGGAGGGTAAATAATAGTAGAAAATACAATAAAAAGTGAACTATTAAAAAATTCAACATGCCAGAAAGCAAGCTGTGCTTCAGAATCAAATGACTATGCATTTGTGACATTCTAAAACACCCTCAGGGCCATGTCATCTCCCACAGATTCATCTATTTGCAGTTTAACTTTTTTAAACAATACTTTTGTATTATAAATACTTTCACAAATATTAAAAAAAGAGATCTGCTGCAATTATTTTGCAAATATAGATAAAGTGTTCCTAGAGAGAATAAGAACAGAAGGATATAGTGTCCTGTGAAATGTCCAACAAAACTTTTGGTGTGGGGGGTTGGGCAGGGCAAATTGATACTGACATTTGGAAACAATATAAACAGGGGGAAAGCTATTCTTACCTTTTGGGCAATTTAAGAACATAATTAGAAACAGAGTTACCCAGGCTTACATAAACTGAACCTATAATGGTTCATTTTCTCATTGAAATTAGACTTTGAGTAACTTCAGATCAAGATACAAATCCCCTCAAATTGATATTAAATGTTTTTCTAGAGAAATGATGTAGATACAGAAGAAAACCTGGATGCTAAAAGTGCTTGACCAATAGGGACACAGTTTATCTTCGCCACACGTGAGTAGCAATTCCATTAGTTCCTACAAAGGAAGAATGGGAAATTGCAATAGATTTACATTGTATAGCACATGCAATGTTGTGTATATCTGTCATTAAGCTAACCATCTATTAACCTACATACTTCAACTGTAATTTGTTTATTGGGGAGACCTTTTCCTTGGAAGGAAGATATGGACTCATTTTATTTTAGGTAATGAGAATTCACAGCACCAATGCAAAGAGAAGTCAGCCAGTGCCAAAAGCCACCTCAGCAGCTGCATGGTCACAGGACCTCACAGCAGTTTCCATGACTTTCATGTCTCCTAGCCTCAGGGGAATAGAAATAAAATGGCTTTACTATGATTCAAGCTAAATAACATCTCAAATGACCAACTCGTATTCATTCCCCTCAGAGCCAAGCATCCCATTTTTAAATCTTTGTGTGTATCTCATTTCAAAATCACAAGAGCATATGCGACTGAGTCATTTAGGTCCATCCATTGAAGACCGTGCTAATTGGGCAGAGGCTCTGAACAAGCATCCCATAGAAAGTTGTTTCCCCTGATAGCCACATACCCATCAGTGTGCTTGGCTTAGATACCACTTCCTAATGATGACTTTATATCTTAGGCCTAAAATTCCAGATGAATCTTACTGACTGACCCCATTTTTCATGGGCAACACTAAGGCAGGATGACACTGAAAAATAGAACATAAAACTCAGGAAAAGAACCACATCTACTCATAGTTTAGAAGCTAGAGAGAGATCCCTAGCTGTCTAAAGCAAAGGCTAACTAACTGCCTCACCCTAAGTACAATGTTAAAGCACACTCTGTGAGTGCCCCCAAATATCAAATATTGGCTGTCGTTTTCACCTTTTGTCTATTTTAGCTTTTATTCACACTATTTTTATTTGTATTTACAGTAGTCCCTCCTTATTCATGGTTTTGCTTTCTATAGTTTGTTACACACAGTTAATAGCAGTCCAAAAATATTAAGTGAAAAATTTCAGAAATAAACAATTGATAAGTTTTAAATCGCTAGCCATTCCTGAGAAGTGTGATGAAATATCACACTGTCCCACTGTCTTCCACCTGAGGAAGTGACTCAGCCCTACATGTAGCATTTCTGCACTGTTGGGCTACCCGCCTGTCAGCCAGGCAGCAGTGGTTTCCATTATGGGAATGACTGTCCTGGCATCGCTGTGCTTGTGTTCACGTCACCACTGAACTCGAAGCCATTCACATAACTTCTACTACAGTATACTGTCATAATTGTTCTATTTTGTTATTGGTTTCTATCATTAATCTCTTACCATTCCTAACTTATAAGTTGAACTTAATCATAGGTATGCATGTACAGGAGAAAACTTAATACATACAGGGTCTGTACTATGCACAACCTTAGGCGGTCACCGGGGGTCTTGGAATGTACACTTGCAGATGAGCAGGGATGGTTACTGTATATTAAAACATGCTTGGTTTTACTATCATCCTTTTTTCTTTACATATTTTCTTACTGTATATAGCCACTGCTCAGCTTTATTGTAAAATTAATAAAGTATTCCCCTGAAGATCTACTTTTAAGATACCTTAATCAGTGTAAAGAATTTTGGCAGATCCTTTAAGAAGTATCGTTCATTATCAGGGCTGATGTGGCTCAGTGGATTGAGCACCAGCCTGTGAACCGAAAGGTCACTGGTTCAATTCCTAGTCAGTGCACATGACTGGGTTGTGGCCCAGGTCCTGCTTGGTGTCACGTGAGAGGGAGCCAGCTGATGTTTCTCTCTCATATCAATATTTCTCTCCCTCTCTTTCCCCCTCCATTCCACTCTCTCTGAAAATAAACAAATAAAATATTTTTAAAAAAAGAGTGCGGCTCACCAACAGAGGGATAAGTGGTTGTAGATTACTGAACTGATGCTTTTCCATACATTGTTTCAACTATAGCTAACCACTTTCAATCTTAGAGTCTCTGCATCCCAACACAAAAATGTACATTAATAAGAGATTCCATAAGAACAAAATTAACTGGATTTCTTAAGAAAAAACTTTGTAATAGAAACCAGAATTATTAAACTAAAGAAAGATTTCCGGTTTATATACTGTTCAGACCAACAGATTTCCCCTTGATGTAGAAATAAGAAGGTTTTTACATAAAATGCTTAAATCGTGGTAAATTAGTTTAATTTCATAGGCCTCTATAAACTGAGCCTTTTAAAAAATGTTAATGTCAGTCATATGATCAATACCCACGAGAGAGTTTACTATTTAAAGATACATGCATATAAGAAATACTACTGGAAGACAACTGTCCACGATTTCATGTTTTTGCACATCTTGAGATCAGAGGCACTGCCCCCCCTTTCTTGGACTCTCTTTTCCAGAGTAACGAACAGCCTTAAAAGATAAAGATAGTGTCTCCTTGCAGAGCAAAGCTCAGGCACACTTACTGCCCATCACAAAGTATTCGAGTTCCCCTGGCTCACAGCTCCTCTCCCATCACACAACCCATGATACACACAGGTGTCAACCCTCCTCACGTTGCCCAGGGAACACCAAGGCTTAGGCGACCTGCATGAGACTTACACTCTGTCTACTGCTATTGTTACGGAAGTAAACTGTCTCATGGCTGATATGTGTTTATAAAACTGTGGTTGGCTAACTTGTTACCGTGAAGGAGGCTAAAATCTCAGGTTCTTCATAATTCTTGATAAATCCACTATTTTTATTAAAAGTTTCCTAGTAAATACTCTTTAGCGCTAGTGGTCCCGGAGCTTTCCTAACATACATTGCATTCCATATAGATTACCATGATTGGGTTAAGGTCATGAAAACAACGATCATATTAAGTTATTAGATAATTTACAAATATATTAATAATAATTTACAAACATTACTAGAAATTTTAAAGTTTATGAAATGTTGAGTAGTCATTAATATACTATAAAACGGGGCTTTAAAGGTTAATTTGAAGGGTCAGAAACAGATGTAACATTTTGTTTAATGCACTTTTTATGAGGAAATAATTATCTCTATTAAGTACTTATTGTCAAGCTTTTTTTAGCAAGTTTTTAAAATGTGAAATCTGAATTCTGTCAAATATATATTCCTACATCAACTTTTTTTAGGTCAAAATTGTGGCTAAACTCACCTAAATTCACAGTTCCCAGCAGCAGAGGTGTTCTCTGTACCTTGACAGCCTTTCTGCCCAATGAGATGAGTCTGCTCTAACAACCTATGCTAATTCCATCACGATAGTTTTCACATGGTAATTTAAAAAAGATTTTATTTATTTATTTTTAGAGAGGCGGGGAGAAAGAGAGGGAGTGAAACCTCAATGTGTGAGAGCACATCGCTGAGTTGCCTCCCACGCACCCAGTCAGGGATCTGGCCCACAACGCAGGCACATGCCTGGACTTGGATTTCAACCAATGACCTTTCAGTGTGTGAGGTGATGTCCAACCAACTGAGCTACACCAGTCAGGGCTATTACATTATATTTTAATGACCAGTTTATCGTTCTCCCATTAGATTGGGGTTCCTTGAGAGTAGAGACTTTCATGTTGACTTTGCCTTGAAATACCAAAGTATTTGCTAAATGAGCAATGAATAATATTTCTATTCAAATGGTATGTATTTATCCATAATAACTGAGCAGTTATCTCCAAATAGTCTATAAACTGACCTAAAATCCACAAATTTAAATAAACATGCCGAGGCTTTGACTTACTTTGCGCTAAATCATTTTTAAAATTTGTAGGTTTGGGACATTTTATAAAAAGATGGCACTTGCATACATACATAATAAGAATTAAAAATTTATCATACAATTACTTCATGTTTTTAGCTTGACCTACTAAATCTTTAGCTTCATGGGTTTTGTCTGTTTTATAAGGAGATCCTCTCTGTCTTGCTGATTTAAAAGTGTAATTCATCAATGTGAATCTATTTTTCATTTGTTGGCAGCAGGGACCTAGTATTAATGCTGCTTCCTGTTCTGTCATTTTGGGTTCAAACCCACCTTTGTTGTAGCCAACACTGAAGGCAGATTTTGGTGGACTTTGTAAAACTTGTTTGACTTGAGGCTCCATATGCTTCATGGCTTGCAAAACGTAACTGCATGACTCTGGCTAAGCTTCCCAGCCTCCAACGAGAGCGTGGTTCCCTGACCCTGGCCGAGGGGCCCGGCCGCCAGCCCAGGCCTCCATCATAAAGCAGGGCAGCCACCGCTATCAGGAATGAAACATCCAGATGCAGGTACTGTAGGGTCTTTTTGTTTTATGAAAGATTTTTTAAACAATTTCTCAACACGATATGCAAAGATGACTTGGGAAGACAGAAAAACAGAATAACTTGTCTAATAAATTCAGCTTGATTCCTGAAACTTGCCCTGGAAATTTCTAAGAACTAATAAGTGCTTAAAGAAAGACTTAACCACATAATGATCAAAGTTCTTAGCTACAGAATATCACAAATAACCAATAATTCACACTTTTACTATAGCCTGCTGCTTGAAAAAAAAATACTGTTCAGTTCCTTGATAATTAGTTCCCATTGTCAAAGCTTCAATTACAATTTGCTTTAAAGGAAAAAACCTTAAATGTCAAGAATCATGTGGTCTGATAAATACAGATGACATTTTAACAGCAAAGTAGGTAGAGTCTACAAAAAAGAGAAGCGACTGTTTCATACTGTATTTATTAATAAAATGCCTTATATCTCCTTCACATAAATTTTTGCTTTTCTATGCAAATGACAGCTTCTGTTTATAAAGAGCAGTATAACCCCTTATTTCCCGAACCATGAAGGTGTGTGACCAACAAGTTTACAGCCCTATCCTAGGTCTAAAAATAAACTAGTCAACAAAAAATTAGAGTATATATAAGAAATCATGTTTATTGTTTGGAGTCAGAGGCAGAGAGCTCCCCAAATTATGAATTATTTTCTAAATGTATTTTATTTATGAATTGGATTCTTAAGAAGGTATCAGTACATACTGATTAATTATTGCACTATAACTGACCAGCCATTTGAATAAAATCAAAGGCTTACTAACAGTTTGAAAGAGTATTGCTAACTTGAATGATAAACCATAGGAAGAGCTTCTATGTAAAACAGTTTGGGGAAAAAACACTTGCGAATTTTTAAGATATCACAGAATTCAACAACTATGTTCTCAAAGATTCACTGTTTTGCATTGCATTTTGGTATTTGGTACGCGACACTAGCTTCTCTCCATTTTGATGTTGCTACCTCTTGTTAGAAAGTTACTATGTAAAATCACCAGCTGTGCACACTAAATATAAACTATTCAGACACAAAACAGTTTTTCAAAGCTGTGGGTTAGTAAACGAACACACAGATTTAATTAAAATAGACCTACAGCTAAGAGCTAATAGTTTACCATTTCTTAATTTTGTTGGTTGGATTTCAGATTTTTCTTTTGGTAATACACACCATTTGACAAAAAGTAAATACAAAGTTAGATGTAAACTTGCTGACCTTCTCTTCTGGCAGCTCCTACTCATTAGGCGACTCATGCTATACACCTGTTATACACCTGTTTCTGATTAATTTTGCTTGTCATTGGTGTATTTTATTGATTTCCTAAAAAAATCACCTGAAATAGGTCTTGATCAATATATTATACATGGTTTTCACATATGCATAGAAAAATAGTCTTACCATTTGTTTCTCAGTAACATTTTAATAGCTTTATCAAGTACATTTGATATGAAATAAACTGCAAATATTTAACATATAGCATTTGGTAAGTTTTGATATTTGTATATATCAATGACACTATCACTACAATCAAGATGCTGAACTAATCTAACCTTGAGATGGTAATTTTGTGTGTCAAACTAAGGGTGTTTGGGATGAAATTAACATTTAAATTGGTCAATTTTAGGTAAAGCAGACTGATCTCTATAATGCACATAGGTCTCATCCAGTCAGTTGAACAAAGAACAAAAAGACTAGGCTCCCTGAGCAAGACTGAATTCAGTGGACTGCCTTCAGACTCCATCTCCGCAATGAGTTTTCTTGCAGCTTGAGTGAGTTTATCAGCTTAAGTGCAGAACTTTGACTTTTCAATCTCTATAATAACATGAATTAATTTCTTATATTAAATTTTTTCATATACACACACACACACATGAAAACCCTGATTAATATAGATTTGAGTGATAAACAGTGGGGCACTGCTGGAAAAAATATCTAAAAATATAAATGGGACTTTGGAATTGGGTAATTGGCAGAGGTTGGAAGACTTTTGAAGTACATGTTAAAAAAACCCTAGATCGAGTTAAAGAGATTATTGGTAGGAATATGTGATGTCTCAGATGAAAATGAGGAACAATTTATCACCAGACACCAGAGGAAAACCAATCCTTGTTTTAACAGTAGCAAAGTACATGTCTGAATTATGTTCACTGTTTTTGCAAAAAGGACTTAAAAGTAATACACGATATACTTTTAACTTCTTGGGTATGTAGCTGAGCATATTTCTAAGTACAGTGTTAAAGTGCAGCCTGATTTCTCTCCTGCACATAGTAAAATGTGAGAGGAGAGAGATAAATGGGAGGAATTGTTAAGTAAAAAGGAGTAAGAACTTGAAGATTGAAACAATTTTCAGGAGAAAGTGTGTTCTGAAGTGAAAGCCTAGGATGTGGCTTTATCATTTGATTAAGAGATGATGGATGTTACTTATTGATTTAATCCTGCCATTTCAGCAGAACCCCAGGAAAACAGGTAGAATATTTGCAAACGACAGCTCTGACAAGGGGTTACTACCCATAATACATAAAGAACCCATATGACTCAACATCAAACAAACAATCACATTAAAACATGAGCGCAACACCTGGACAGACTCTTCTCCCAAGACATACAATTGCCAACAGATATATGAAAAGATGTTCAACTTCACTTGCTATAAAGAAAATGCAAATCAAAACTACAATGACATACTATCTGACACCTCTTAGAATGTCTATTATCAAAAAGACAAGTAATAAGTGCTGGAGAGGTTGTGGAGAAAAATGAACTTTCATTCACTATTGTGGGAATGTAGACTGGTACAGCCACTATGGAGAACAGAATGAAGGCTCCTCAGAATATTCAGACTAGACTTACCATGTGACCCTCTACTGAGAGAGAATCTACATGAAAAACTTGAAAATATTTATTCACAAAGATGTATGCCCTCCTGTGTTCATCAGCATCATTCACAGTGGCCAAGACATGGAAGCAACCCAAGTGTCTTTCACTAAAGGACTGGATAAAGAATATATAGTACACATATACTATGGAATACTACTCAGCCATAAGAAAAGGTGAAATAGTGTCAATTGTAACAAAATGGATGGGCCTTAAGAATATCATGCTAAAAGGATAAGTGAATGAGAAAAAGCTAAGAACCATCTGATTTCACCCATATGTGGGATATAAAACTGAAACTCATAGACACAACAGTATAATGATTACCATAGGGAAGGTGGGGAGGGCTTAGTAAATGGTAAAGGGGGCCAAATACATGGTGACAGAAGCTGATTTGACTTCAGTTGGTGGGTACACAATGCAATATACAGGTTATGTATCTTAGAAATATATACTTGAAACCTATATAGTTTTATCAACCAATGTCACCCTAATTAATTAAATTTAAAAAAAGATTCAGTACTTTAAAGATGTTAGTTCTCCCCAAACTGATCTCAATCCTAATAAAAACTGAAGAGGTAATTTTTGGATTCAAATATGTAAAATTATATATAATTTAAAAAATGATGTACAAATTCAAAGAACATAGAATAGTAAGCAATTTTGAAATAATTGGAGTACTAACCCTACCTAACTTTTTATAAACCTATAATAAGTAGAGAATGTAATATTTGGTAAGATAGACGAATAGGTTCATGAAACAAAAGAAGGTCAGAAATAGCCCCTCGTATATATGGACCACTGGTTGTCAACAAAGAAACAAAAGCAATTCAGTGGAGATAAGATTGTTCTTTCAATAAACCACACCAGAACAGATGATTATTCATGTGCAAAAGAATGAATTTCAACCCACACTTTGCATCTAGGGAAAAATTAAGTCAGGATAAAACATAGACATAAATGTAAAACCTAAAAGCAGAAAATTTCTAGAAAAAACATACGAAGAAAACTTTGTGGCTTTGGACTATGCAAACACTTTTTTTCCCCTGAAAATTCAATTAAAATCACTATGGGGCCTGTGATATTTCCTCTCAACATGGAGTAAGCAGTTCAGCGAAGTTGGAATTTTGTCTTAAATATATCTAAAACTAATGGTCCTGAAATTAATTTAGATGTCCTATTTCTGCCTACCAAAAGTAATTTTGCTTAAACTACTTTTGATTAAGTTATCCCCCAATACTTTACAATGAATTATACAAAAATAAAAATGGAACCCATTTGCCTGACTGTTCACAATGACTTACAACTGTTCTCTCATAGGCCTCAGGGCAATCCTCTTGGGAAAATGCTATTATTTTAGAAAATGAAGATATTGATGGACAACTATACAAATGATTTGCCTAAAATCATTAGCAAAACAAAAGCTGGGATTCAAACCAAGTTTCTCTGACTCCACTGACCCCAGACCTAATACTCTGTCACTGAACCACCTTCGATATTTTCATTTCAACCTCCTACTCTTCATAAGCAAAAATCCAATAAAATGCAATTAGGACCTGGACTTTTCCCATAGAAACTGTTTTTTTTAACAGGTAGGTAGGCAACTTTAATGCTTGGGTTTGAATTGACTTCTGCCTGCTTGAAAAAAATGAATTGTATAAATCTTTCACCTCCAAACAAGCTCTATTGCTGAATAGTTTTGGTTATTTTCTCAGATATCTTTTTAAAAAATGTTTACACAAGGATACGTTTATTGATCTTAGAGAAAGAGAGAGAGCGGGAGGGAGTGAGGGGAGAGAGAGAGAGAGAAACATTATTGATGTAAGAGAGAAAGATTGATCTGATGCCTCCTGTACATGCCCTGACTGGGGACTGAACTTGCAAACTACGCATGTGCTCTGATGAATCCACAGCCTTTTGGTGTATGGGGTGATGGTCC